TGTCTGTCTGTCTGTCTGTGTGCGCGCGTGCGCGTGTGTGTTTGTTTGTGCACGCGGGCGCGCACATGCGCGTGAGCGTGCGCGTGCTTGTGTGTATTGTGTTACTCTCCCACTTTCCGAAATCATAGTTTTCGTGAACCAATCCAGTTCACCCTGCCACCCCCGATAATTGATTCTACCATTCGTTTGCTGAGCTTTCTGAACCTTGTCTGCTGCTCTGCTAACGTCAAAAGCCTTAACTCGTCACCTCCTCGAGCTCGCTGCTCAGCTTCTCCTCGCGCGCCTCTTCATTGGTTCAGCAACGAATATCCAAGGCCAAGCCGGCAAAGGATGCACGTGCATTTTGACAGTATGCGGCCTTGGCCCGTGTAAGCACCAAGTCACCCTGCAATCCTTCGCTGCGTGACATTTGCAATTCTTCCCTCAGCCGGGCGATGTCGTTGGCCTCGAACCAAGCGCAAAGCCATCACCAACTGCTCTCATGAGATCGGCCAGTGACAAGCACACTGGTCCCTTAGGCACATGCCACAGCCACATACATGGCCGGCAGCATTCGCAGGACTGGGCGTGCCTTCGCGACCAGTTCCAGCTGCTGTTGGTCCAGTCGAGCCTGTGAGGCACGTACCCCGAGATCCAACTGTTGAATTACAATACACCCCCTGTATTAGTGTTGACATTTTGCATGTGCACACTGTCCTCTGTCGGTGATCCTGAGCATGTCAACATCATTGTTGATCCTCCTTGTTGCTGCTCGCTTTGCTTACCGTCTCCAAACGTCATGGGCTGACTCTAGTTCGTTCATGGTGTATTGGTGTGTCGGATGGACAGGGCCCTCTTATGTTCCGGTTCGCATTTTCGCGCACCTGTGCTGTCCAGCAACTACGACACCACAACGTACTGTAGCTCGAAAAGCTTTCGGCTTTCAAACTATGAATTCCGGGAAGTTTGCATCAGCGCTTGTTCACTTGGTTGTCTCCGCGACTATGATGTCTTGTTTGAAGGATCCGAAAATGAATATGCATGTGGATGTTTTCCACATTCTTGATCATGTTTGCACATCTTCACGGCCTCGACCCGCGCCAATTCCTCGGTCTTCGAGGTGGAAGCGCGTGCGGCCGAGGCATGCTCTGCTGCACCTCAGAAAAGCAGGCCCGTGCACTGTGAAGCAGCAGCAGAAGGGCCCGCACCCTAACAGCACGCAGCCAAACTCAGTCAAAGGCTCAGTTCTTGAATCTCAAGATCTTTTGTTTGCATCTCCTGGCAATGCGTGTGAATTTATGCCAGGTTGACACATCTCTGCGCGAACCGGATGCACCCTTCTCGAGACGCCCATGTGACACTTCTTGTTCGCGTCGCCTCTTTGTGTGATTGCTCCAAGCACTCCTTGGACAGAACATTCATTGCATTGCCGCCTGCCGTGTGATCGGTGGTCTACTGAGGACTGCACTCGTTGCGCGGCCAGCTCATTAGCTTCCTCGTTGCAGATTTTCTGCAGCTGCGGCAACTGTTTCTCAAGCTGGCGATTGCGCGCCTGATGGGAAACCCAGAAACAATCAGAAACCACTCGCTTACCTTGGTGCATCTTGGTGCATCATTCTAGCATGCAACCTCAATGTCGTTGATGATGGAGACCCGCTGCGCGCAAAGCCGCTGGGCCTGATGACGACTCTTGATATGCAGTGCGCAACAAATCACTTGGGACCATCCCCGCTGCAATGCCTGCTCCAGCTCACTGTGTAACTTCTCTTCCCGTGCCTGCTGTTGGGCCAGCTGCATTTGGCAACATGTACGTAGCCGTAGTCTTTTGCTGATATTCGGACGTCCTCGCCTTCGACCTCGCGACCGCAAGGTCAGTTTGTAAGCCTTCCTCGTGTGATAGGTGCAATTGTCCCGACAGCTTGGCGATGTCATCAGCCTGCACAAGCGCGAAACACGTCCACATACACCTACACAAATACACGCGCACGTACATACATACAAACATACATACATACTTTCTTCTTCCACCGCCGCAAGAAGAGCCCTGCGATGCGCACGGGCAGCAATGCCGGCGTCTTGAAGACGCATACCGCCGTTTGGGTATCCCGGGATATCCCGGGAGTGCAAACAAAGGCTTCTCTGGTAGAACAACGACTGAGTACTATGAGCAAATATGCCAACAAAAGTACAGAAACGTAAGATATACATACACGTAGATATACATACATATACATACATGCACATACAGATACGTACATATACATACATATACATACATATACATACATATACATACATATACATACATATACACACATATACATACATATACATACATGTACATACATGTACATACATGTACATACATGTACATGCAGCACATAT